GGTTTCCTCGCCCCCTCGCCGGAGTGTTTACATGGGTCTGGTGGCGCGGTCAGAGGAGGTCCGGTGATAGGTGAGCGGTGTATGCGCGCGCGACTGTATGAGCGCTCCAGCAAAGAGAGGGGAGAGGAGAGACAGAGAGAGAGAGAGAGAGAGGGAGAGAGAGAGAGCGAGAGAGAGAGAGAGAGAAGGAGAGAGCGAGGGTGAGAGAGAGAGGGAGCCCAGAGGAGTAAAGCCCAGGCGTGACGCACGGCCAGAAATAGACAGGAGGGGCCACGGCAGGGGGAGACGCATGCGCAGCAAGCAGGGCACTTTTGCAGCGACGTATGAGACAGTGGTCTGAAGAGTTAGTACACACGCTCTGAAAGTATTTTGTTACAGTTTGGACAGTTACTACCGCGTAATACAAGTTCAATACCATCGTTTAATATGTAGGCCTAGTGTTATAGCCTGTTATAGGGTTGTCATAAAATTTTAAGTCTGGTACGCCACTAATCGATAGACTAAACCTAAACAAAGATCAATCCTGAAAAAGTCACAGAATAGTTTTAGAAAGGTTTAGGTCTATATCAGAACAAGTACAAGTCCACAAAGTATTAACACATCTATGACTTGAAAAACGGTGTATATAAAAACACTTTGTCTAGTTTTGACTGCTCTAGTCTATTTGCAGATTCTCAGATTGATATCCTTATAGTAAGTGAGTGGATCTGAGACATGACAGCAATAAAAACAACATTCCTTTCCAATGTAGGTCCTCATTTGAAGCTATATAAAAGAAAAATAACAACTGACTTCAGAATAAATGCAACAAAAAACACTTTTATTTAGGCAAATATATTTATAGTTAACCAAACATCATGCATCCCTCTGTCCCCTCACTCCAGCTCATGTCATTGCATAAGTTCACATCAGTGAGCTGTGTTGCTGTAGTACAAGTGTGTTTGCTCTGGCTAGCCCAGCTCTGAGATCAATAACAAATGTAGCTCACCAAATCCAATCGATATCTGTCTGTCACTGGGCCACTGGACACACAAACAAACTAATTCAACACTAGCTGTGCTCCCAACACTCACCATAGAGCCACCATTACACTGCCATAACCAGAAACAATAAAGGCATAAAATGGTAGTAACGTTTGACCACACAATACAGATGCCCTGCACAGGCCTCGCTGCAATAAAAGAAATTGACGTCATGAGTTTTTTTCAGGGTAAATTAACATCTTGCAAAAAATACTGTGTCTGTTTTTGAGAATAAAAAGCTTTGCTCAGAATAGTTACTAAGAACACTAAGATCAGGTGTAAGAGAATTAGGCCTGTCACGATGACATGTCATGATTGAATATATATATTGAATATTTTGTGTGTGTGAATTGAATACTGAATTGAACAATAACTTGATAATAATTATTCTGACAGGCCCAAGCCTCATTATAAACAAATAATAATAAATGCATAGCACTTTTCCAGACTTTCAAAGTCGCTTTACAGTTTTGTGCATTATTTATTCATATACCCAGTGGTGGTAAACTACTATTATAGCCAAAGCTGCAATGGAGCTGATGGGCTGCTTAGAATTGGAGATTTGATGAGATCAGGCTTTAACAAGAAGTTTTGGCCAAACTGTAACGTATTCAGAAACCATTCTGTAGTCACAGCTGCCCACAGGTAGACTGACGGAAACATGTCTGCCACTTGGCTCACTGCCACTGCTGCCCACATCAACAGTGATACATAAAACATTTATTCGCTTCTAAATATATTCCACTCAAAGTTGTGAAATTCACTTGGGGGAGGCTGTAGCTCAGTTGGCAGATGTAAGGTTCAACCACTGGTACAAAGATCAAAGGTTTGATCCCTACTCCCTCTAGTGCATATAGTACTGTTACTGTGTCCATGAGCAAGGCACTTAATCCACCTTGTCTCCATTATGTATGTGAATAGGTTCCTTTATGTAAAGCACTTTGCGTACCTATTGTTGACTGAAAAGACTATTTAATGACCATTTATTTAAATGGTTTAAGTCCTGTTATGTTGCTTAACTTTTATACTTGAATAACAGTTCTTAACAAGTTCACCTCTTTGTTATATGTCCTTGCATTAACACAGTACAACAGTACAAGGCATACAGTGTTTTCTATAAAGTAAGCATAAGTGTATCTATATTTAGCTGAAAGGCCCAACAGTGCATAATTCATATGCATGTGATAATAAATAAAACATGGTGTATACATCGCTGTTCACCCGAGCTCACGGCATGGACTGCTGAGGTTTGCAAGCACTCTCCCACTCTGCAAACAAAGATAGATTATAGGTAAAATACAACAGGCAGTTATTTATACACACTGCAGCCTATGAGAATATGCAATACGTGAAGCAATGGAAGAAGTTTGGAGTGATTCAATCAGATACTTAACACCAAATGTACTACTTTATTTAGCTTCTCGTGATTCAAAATACTGCATGTTTTTGTTTAAGTTGGCTGCAAGGCTGACACTTTAGAATGAATAGTATAGTATAGGGGAGTCCTATGGGGTTCTACATGTACTTGATTTTCCACCAGAATGCTCACTATACTGGGAAACACCTTTGTACCTTGAGGAATTGCCTTGAAGAGCCTTAAAAAAAAAATTCAATTTGAGTAAACTCATTCACACAGCGATCTAGTTGAATAATTCACAGCATCAAAACAAAACAAAACAATCACCATTACAAAATTTTAAGAACTGTGGCATGAACAATATTTTAGTTTCATTCTTCATTTTTTAACATATATTTTTTAAATGTGAAGTTTGGTCATATTTTGACAGGTGGTGAGCAGTAGAATATTTTCAACCAAAGGAGTGGCTGTGACTCAAAAAGCAGTCATCTGAGGCAAGGTAAGATGCACCCCACTTTAGGGCCACAGCAATTCTCTGTCAAAAGCCTTAGCATTATCTTTACCCAGCCAGCCCATTAGACCTGATATTAAGTGCTAAATACTGAACCACAGACTGTATATAAATGGACACAGCTAACCTGTGAGCCGCCCCATTTCAATTAGGAAGTGAACATGGGCGCGTTTCTGGTTCCATTGCCTCTGGCTCCAATTGGGTTTAGATTCAAAAATTGTCACCCCTCCCTCTGTAACTGCTGCTGTGAGGATCATTCATTTGGTCTTAAAACTTTGTCTGTAAATAAATTCCTATTCCTAATATGGAACTAGCCTCGTGAGCTTCATTTGACTAGAACTGAACGCTATGGGTGACGTCACAATCCCTTCGTCCACTTTTTTAAACACTCTACGCACTGTATAATGGAAGATAATATAGAAATATGCTCTATATAAAAAAAAGACAAACAGCTGTCATATTGAGCTTTCTTCCTGCCCACCTGACATTTCGTTTTTGCTCACTTTAATGCGTTTTGTCGCTGTGTGCCTCTAAAAATGTGTGTGGCCTTTTAAAAATTGCTGTTGCTTGGAAATAGCTGCTGAGTTGCCACTGTCCTTAAAACTAAATGCACTAAAAAACTTAAAGGTACATTATGTAACTTTTCTAATACAGAGTTTGCCACATGAGATGTTATTCCTTTACATAGTCTATATGTTACGGCATTACATCTATCTCCATGGAAACAAGCAGGTAGCCAAGTTAAAGGTCAGATCCATGGAGATTCAAGCCTGCTAACAGTAAGAATGCAATGATTTTGAGCAATACAGTAAAAACTTAAAACTAAAAGCCAGGTTAACGGATATAATGCCACACTATGACCAGGCAAAGCTACATCTGTAGAGACAAGCTTGTGTCATACTATCCACCAGAAAAGTTACGCAATTCACTTTTAATGCATTTAATTTGTTATTTGTCCGTTAAACACAAGTCCTTCTATGTTTCATACACTGTACTTTTGGCTGCGGTGGGAGGTTCGTGTTTGGACATGACCAGCTTCAGTTAAAATGGATCTGAACTTACTCTGTCCTTGTTTGAACTGCAAATACTTTTATTATCACAGCGGGGTCAGGGAAAAGTGAACTTAAAGTTTGAAGAGACACGTTCCTTGTAAAGATTTTTTAGATAATCCTTTGAAATCATCAAGTCAACTTTTGTAGCTCTGTTCATACGTTTACACAAAATTCCCAAACTGCAGAGACTGAAATGTAACCGTCAATTCACATTTCTAAAAAAATTGGAAGTTAGGGACAAAAAAATCCCAAAATACCACCCATGCAGAGACAGTGTACCCATCTAGCCACCGATGAACATTACATAACATGTGAAGCGTTCTTTTATAGTTATTTTAGGTCGGACATATTTTAGACTTAATGAGGGGTCACACAGAGATTGGGAAGCCCCTGTTTCATTGCCAGGTTTCTATTCTGGCTTGTTTGGCCCTGGACTCTATTCTAGACCTGGGTTAATGTTTGTCTATGGGGCAGGGGGGCATAGAGGGGCATAGGGGGGGTTATTGTAGTGCCCCAGGAGGCGACAGGTGCCACGCCACTTGACACCGCACTTCGAAGCGCGCTGAAAGAAGGGCAACCGAAGATCAGTGTGAGGAGATGGGTTTGGACAGAGAGATGAGAGAGAATATCCCAGGGGGCATACGGGACGTCCCATACAGGAATAGAACATCAAGTAGTCGTAGCAAGGTAGTCTTTTATACAAGAGGAGCTGACAACTTTCATAATCATCGATCTTCTGAGACATATGTAGATGTATTTGTTCATGTGTCTAAGTCAGTTTGCACAATCAAAAGGTACATTGGGACATTTTCCCTCTGGATCGCTTATTGAAACATATACAAACATAGGAATCATTTAGATGAGTGGATTTAGTTTAACCATTGCAAACATTCTGAGTAACTTTTGGTGGAGGGTCCAGTACTGGATTGTCTCCATGGAGATGTCATTTCTTTGCCTAGAATGTTCCATAGTATAGGGTATTAAACATATCTCCCTTGCATTTGTTCAATTACAGATGTATCATAGCTCAAAATCCCTTAAAAAGAACAAATTCTTACCATGTACAGGCTTGCTTCTTCATTAATCTGACCATTAACCTGTCTCAGTTGTAATTATCAAGTTTATTTCCATACTGTAGAATAATCGGGGGATAACAGTAACATCTCCATGGAGACAAGATGGCTGTGGACCCTAAAACAGAAAAGTTACATAATGCAGCTGTAAAAAACATCAAGAAATCAATGTTTGCAAGTGAAAAAAATGGTACATGATTGTTAATGTGCTTTACTGTTAATGTACTCTAAATGTGTTTTTATTTTTAAGAGAGGACCCAAGGAAGAGGAGTCTGTGCACTTGCAGAGATTAATGGAAATCGTTAAAGGTGCACTGTGTAACTTTTCCGTTGGGGATCCGTCACCTGCTTGCTTCTGCGGATATGTCATTGCTCTGTCTAGAATGTTCTACAGTATGGCATTAAACATCTCTACCTTACATATATTCAATTACAGGTGTTTACAGGATTTATAGCTCAAAAATAACTAGAAAAACAGGCACTCTGACAAGCAGGGTCACCTCTCCACACATCTGACCTGTAACTTGTCCTGGTTTGGTTTCCATGAAGATAGAAAGGTTTAATGCCATACTGTGAAACATTCCACACAAAGCAATTACATGTTCATGGAGAAAAGTATTTGACAGACTCTTCACAAGAAAGGTTGCACAATGCACCTTACATAAACCAATAAAAAAAATAATGGAGTAATAATAAATTTGCACAAATAGTGGTATAAATAAATAAAAATATATAAATAAATAAATAAATAAAAATAAATAAATAAATAAAAATTCTCTTGAAACAATGGAGGATAAATAAATTTGCACAAACAGTATTACTTAGTATTACTTATGATTACTTGGATCAATTCACCTGAAGGACTGAGGGACAACAACATTTCTTTTCAGGGAACCCTAACCTAGGCAGCCCTGAACAAGAACCTGGCTCAGATCTGGAGAAGTCTCCTCTTGACATTTGTACACAGAGACATTGAGGAAGTCCAAAATTCCACAGAAGACAATAAGGTCCATTTTGGGGACTATGATGATGTCTGTGAATGTTGGTTAATCTGCTTTTATTCTTTTATTGACCAAGGTCTGTCTGCTGCTGATCTACAAAAATAGTTTACATTAACTGGTCACTTTATGGTCGGTACCACTTTCATTTCTTGAAATATAGTGTGAGTAATCTGTTAACTCATCCAATAAGAAAATGCTTCTCTCTAGTCTCGCCATATAAAAGCTCCAGACCTCTACTAATTATTATGTTGAAATAAAAACTTGATATTTGGGTTTGTGGCGTCACACTCGTCCTTTAAAAATGTCAAGTTTATGATAGTTATGCTGAGTTTAGTGTTTTGGGTTTGGTCCTCTTAATGAACAGAGCTTTTGGGGTTAGACTGAGTTCATTCTGACATTTAGAAATATGACGTTTGAGATCCCACCGCTGTGAACTAAAGTGTGGGGTCAACCTTCCAGGTCACCAATTAGGATTACAAAAGAATAGGAGAAACTGTCGAGAAAATATGATGAAAATATAAACACTGTAAATGAGAAATATATAAACTGTTAATTGCAATCTTGGGGAATAGTTTGAATGTAAATGGCCCATATTACACTATTTTCTGATACACTGTATGTTAAAATGTTGCTTTCTCTGCACCTCTCTACACCTTCACTAGAATCATAATTTCAGACCTGGAATTATCAATCTCCACTAAACAAAAGGTAAAAGGTAGCTGCCAACTTGAAAATTTGCTTGATGACATCACAAGGTGGAACAGAGCAGTTTAAGCTGTGGAGATGTAGACCATCTAATATTAAAGGATTATTCAAACTTGTGTGAATGAAACAAAACACAACTCCAGGAATATTATAAAAACAAGATTATAACATGCCTTAAAGCTCACAAGAGTAAATTTTGCACAATATAAGATCTTTCTAAACCTGTACTTATTCATTGCTGGTTGAAGTCTCTGCTGAGGCATAATACAATTTAGTTCACTGCAAGACAAATAAACATAATGAAGGTAGATAATGATGTGGAAACATTAGAAATGCTTGGTTTGTACTGGACTGAACTCATGAAGGTAACCAAAGACAAATCCAGTTTGGGAAATGAACAGCAAGCACTTTATATTATGAGCTGTCCACTGAGCCAACGGCCGCGATTCAAAAACTACAGTAACCTCAGAAACTCAAAAGTAAACAACCAAATATCACATGATAACCTGCAGGTGACCAAAAACATGCATTTTCTATTTCTTGGCAAGAATATTGGTAAAATTCCGAGCATGTTGAAAGTTCCTAGAAACCACTACATGAACCCACAGTATGAATTAGTGTATGAAGTCTCTAAGCTGTGTAATTGCCTCCAGTTGTTCTATCTATTCCTATCCTGGTCTGTGTCCGGGCCTGTCCCGTAAAGCCGCATGTATTCAGGGCTGTCCCAGAGGAGCGCTGTGCTATGTGAGGGGCACGGAGAATCCTCTTTGGTCCTTCAGGCACTGGGAATGTCCAGGATAGAGTTACATTGATAAACTGCACGAGAGAGAGAAGAGAGGAGAGAAAGAGTAGATTTAATAGTAGAGGTTATCGCCCACTGAACCATAGTAAAACAGAAACAGGGGACTGAAGTCTGGCTGGTCTGAGTGAGAGCTACATATTATATCCAAAGTGCACACTGCAAAATCCACAAATAAAAAGTGTTTTATTTGTAATTATTCTCCAAGTTGTACAACACATTTACACAGATCAGAAGTTAGTCCTTGACCATTCCACTGTACACACCACCATTATGGGCTAATCTAAGTTACAAAGAGGAAATCAGAGAACCCAGAAGAACCCCTGAAGAAATAGGGACAACGTATAGGCCCCACACAAACAGACCAGTTCCAGGAACCAAACACAGGACACTGTAGCTGTGAGGCCTGTTAGACTGAGACTAACAGGTCTCAACCTAATTTGTCATTTAAAATTATATATGTATGTATAATGTCTTGGATGTATATATTGCCTTTCAAAATACTCAGATCACTTAACATTGCATTATTCATTAACTTTACACTGTGATGGTAAGATGCTGTACAGCTGCCTTGGAATACACAGGCAAAAGTGAGGCTGCCAATCAGCTCCTTCAACTACCACCATTCAATTACCTTATTTAAACAACAAGAAACAAACTGGCAACTTTCAAGGTGCACTGCAAAACTTTTCTGGTGGAGGGTTGTTTTGCCTGTTTTCCCTGGTGGTAAGATCCAACTAGTATTTATTAATTACAGATGTTTCTATTGCACAAAAACAGAATAATTCCTTCTGCGAATAGACGACTAGGCGACTCTCTGCAGATCTGAATTGTAAGGTAGTGTAGTGCTGTAACATTTGTAGTGATAGGTACATTGAAGCCAGTGCAGTGGGACATTCTAGACAAAGCAATATCATTTCCACAGAAACAAAGAGGTGTCAGACCCTTCACTAGAAATGTTACGCAATGCATCTTTCAGGATTGTGGGCGAACACTCTAACCACTGAGCCATTGCCACTCAAAATATGATACTATAAGGTTGAGGTCAAACAGCAGGCGTGTTGAAAAAAAGAGATCAACATTTGAATGGCAAATCATCCAAAATCATTCACTATCTATGCCAGTTTCACAGAGAGACTAGAGACTGGGCAGGCTCTAGTTTTATCCTGCTGTTGTGTGTCTGTGCCAACGCTGATGTGTGAGAGCTCGCCAGCCTCCAGCGGTCGCTAAGTTAACTCATTACTGCCTCGTTTATCTCGTTAGGCGTGGATTGATCCTACCGAGGCCAGCTGCACGTCATCGCCAGGCCCACTAATCAATACTAACAACCCGGGGAGGAGTTTAAGTGTTACACAACCTCATTATCTTGCCAGCGCCTCTGCAGGGGGGGGGGGAGATTACAGTGTGACACCCCAGTCAGCAGAAGGGCAGAGCTTCCTGTTACGGGCAGGAAGTAGATTCAGATAGCAGGGTTTAGCTGGTTATCTGATGGTCAGGTGGTGTTAAACTGTGAGGGAACAGATACAAGATCTTATAGATGATCAGGAGCTTATGCAAACGTAGGGGTCTGTGAATGTATGGACAGAGGAGACCCCCCAGGACCGTATAAGTGACAGGGATATACGAGTGTTCAAGGGGGCGCATAAATATTGAAAAAGAGAGTAATGTATATGCAGTAAAGTCAAGAAGAAGAATTATTAATATGGCATACACGGCAACTCTACTGAAAAATCTACATCAGTCTGCACTTGCAACCAGTATTTACGTTGTTCCTTGTTGAGATTCAGACTGAAATGGTAATGCATATTAGTACTTGCAAACTCAGTTCACAAAGATTAGGAGTTCAACCCATATCAGTCAGTCACTTTCTACTTACATCTTTGTGTAAAACACTGTTACCATGGACTCCAGTTTAGGGATGTTACGGTAACTATGATACCAACCAGAGATATTGATAGATATGTGATATGTCTTGAAAGTCTTATAATAAATTTTGGGGACATATTGTACAGAATATTTAACTAAAAGCTCTTCCCTAAGCATTGCTTTTGCAGCAGCATTTCTGAGCATATCACAAATATGGTTCATTATCTATTTCTCTGTTTTATTGCTGCCAACATGAGGAAATGACTGCACTTCTCAAATCTGATTGCAGTTTGAGCTGGCTCAATCATCAAATTATAAGGTTCAATTTTATGATAGAATGCCCTCTGTAAAGAACAAAATATCCAGATTTTTTGCAGAAAAATCATACCTGTACTTTAGACCTTTACAAATATGTTCTGAATGATGTGATGTGATTCTTGTATTAGTTTATTAGTTCATCAGTTCAAGACCCTGTGAAATGTTCATGCTCTTAGAGTAGTTTACAAAGTGCACTCTAAACAGAATCATATTTTTAAATATATTGACCTTATTTCGCCCTGTTTTGGGATAAATGTGACTAAACCACAATTTTTTTGTGGTTTCTTTGTAGTTTAGCGAAAATCCCGTTCATTTCAACTGAGAATGTGGGAAAAGTTTTACCACTAAAATATGAAATAAAGCAGGTTTATTTGTGTTTAATGTTCATGTGCACCAATAAGACAACAATACACCAATTCCCTGGGACGCT